GTGGGGACGATGCCACCGCCGGGACCCCCACAGTCCCCCCGAACCCCGAGATGATGATTTCCCATCCCCCAACCGTCCCTGTGCTGCCGTCACCATCACCCCCCCAAAATCCCTCTTCCCCGCCTAAACCAGCCGCCCCGTGTCACATCCATCATCCAGGTCGGTCCCTTCGGGAGCCCTTTCCCGATGCATTGGCTTTGATGCGTCCTCCAAATCTGGAGGAGATCAAAGCCACCGGGCGGTGGTGGGGAAACCCCGGGCTCTGGCTGCCGTACAGCTCTGGGTTGGTTCCAAACAGCGTCACCGTCACCGAAGTCCGCGGCCGTCGCGTGAGGTTTAGGCTAGAGACGCTGCCGGGTTGAGCGCGGCAGCCGGGGGGATGCACGAGGTGGCCCCAGCGTCCTTACGGCCGTGCCAGGACGATGTAGGATGTGCCTCAACATCCCCACGGCCGTGCTGGGACAAGCCAGGAGATGTCCCCAGGGACTGTGCTCAGGCTGACACACGGGATGCCCTGGGCACCCCCATGGCTGCACTGGGGTGAGCCACAAGCTGTCCCGACACCCCTATGACCATCAGGAGATGCCCTCAGGATCCCCACAGCTGTGCTGGGGTGACACATGAGATGTCCTGACACCCCCACGACCATCGCGACATGCCCTCAGGATCCTCACGGCTGCGCTGGGGTGATGCATGAGATGTCCTGATATCTCTATGACCACCACGAGATGCCATCAGCATCCCCACCGTCTTGCTTGGATGATGCATGAGAGGTCCCGACACCCCCACGACCATCACAAGACGCCCTCAGCATCCCCATGGCTGTGCTGGGGTGACACATGAAATGTCCCGACATCTCTATGACCATCACGAGATGCCCTCAGCATCCCCATGGCTGCGCTGGGGTGATGCACAACATGTCCCGACACCCCCATGACCACCACAAGACACCCTCAGCATCTCCACGGCTGCACTGGGCTGACCCACGAGCAGTCCTGACATCCCTATGACCATCATGAGGTGCCCTCAGCATCCCCACGGCTGCACTGGGGTCACCCACAAGCGGTGCCGACATCCCTATGACTGTCACAAGATGCCCTCAGTATCCCCACAGCTGTGCTTGGGTGACACATGAGATGTCCTGACACCTCCATGAATATCAGGAGATGCCCTCAGCATCCCCACGGCTGTGCTTGGGTGACACATAAGCTGTCCCAATATCTCTATGACCATCACGAGATGCCATCAGCATCCCCACGGCTGAGCTTGGGTGACACATGAGATGTCCTGACATCCGTATGAACATCACAAAAGGCCTTCAGCATCCCCCACGGCTGTGCATGGGTGATGCATGAGATGTTGTGATGTCTCTATGACCATCATGAGATGCCATCAGCATCCCCACGGCTGTGCTTGGATAATGCATGAGATGTCCCGACACCCCCATGACCATCACGAGATGCCCTCAGCATCTCCATGGCTCTGTTTGGGTGACACATGAGATGTCCCAACACCCCCACGACCACCACGAGACGCCCTCAGCATCCCCATGGCTGCGCGTGAATGATGCATGAGATGTCCCGACACCCCTATAACCATCAGGAGATGCCCTCAACATCCCCATGGCTGTGTTTGGGTGACACATGAGATGTCCCGACACCCCTATAACCATCAGGAGATGCCCTCAGCATCCCCGTGGCTCCACTGGGATCACCCACAACCTCTCCCCACACCCCCCAACCGTGCCCGGGGTGGGGGGGTGACACACGCACTGCCTTCCGTATC